AATTAATGAATTATTGGGTATAAAATAAAGAACTGACCGTCAGAGGCGTTATGCTCGTTGGTGATTGGAATGTAAGGAGAACAATCTAGTTTTGATACTGATGATTTTTATTGATTGATTTTCAAAGAGACCATGTAAGAACACTGACCGATGTAGCGTCAGTGTGGTGGGCGGGTTTGTAAACACAGTTTCCCTCTTGGATGTTTATCTTAACCTGACCACAAGTGGACTACAAAAACACCACAGAACGTGTTCACTATCTGACGTTAAACATCGTTGTTATCTATAATGAGATTCTGATAATACTTTCTAAAGAAATCCCTTAACAGACAATTTCACTACAAAAACAGCCGGAGCGATTGTTTGACAAATTTCCGTCCCGAAATTCCGACGAGTTTCTCAATTCAGTATCTCCAAACCTCTGTATTACATACACTTGTGATTGAAATGGATGTTGATTTTCTGTCTATGTCCTACAATATGTTCGTCATGGTGACAATATTTGTAATAGGGGCATTGTTTTGTAAATATAGATTAGGTTATTACGTTTCCGGTAGAACGGACATCATGTGGGCCAAACCTTTTATGTGTGGAAACAAAACGTCTATTATTACTGCGATTGAGAATGTGTGTGAGAGGGAGAGGGTCTTTTGTTGATTAAAATGTGTTGTTCATCGTCATGGTTTGAATAATTTGACTGAAATATTCCAGATGTGTCACATACTAAGTGTCATTAGTCAGTTTCTAAATATTGACATATTGTAATGCTAAAGTATTTTCATGAACTTGACTCTAAGTACCTCAAGTCGTGTCACTGACCATAATATTGATCTACCTGGTAGTAAATAATGGACTTCAATCGATACTCAAATATAACACGTAAATGGGAACTTCAGTCTAATGCCGCCAGTTTACAACATATTTCTACAGTAAGATTTTATCTCTGGTGCTGTTTTGTGGTCAGATCTTCTCCAGGTTTGACCGGTGTACTGTGATCTGATTGATATGAGGGTAATAAATCTACAATTATTGACTCCGTACCGTGGTCAGTTATTACTGGTGGTGATATATCACGTACTGTCAGAAGTGTCGTAGCCTCGTGTTGATCCGGAGGTTTATTAACTTAACGAATGTGGATATTAACCGACGTCCCGTTTATCTGTTTATTGTTACCCAGATATAATCGGCACGGAATTAACAAGTTGAATATCCATGAAAATCTGTCATGGTTATACAACATCGAATTATTGTGTCAGAGTCGCCAGCTCGTGTGAATTCGGCATGTCAATCTTATATCGCACATTGACTTGGTCAGGTTATGAACGATATTGAAATCGCGTGATTTTTATGAAATTATCAATTGAGAATAATTATTTTGGAAGTATCTATGAAAAAAATAATGCCTCAATGTACCTGTTACGACTTAGTCCGTGCTGTTACATATTCAAATGTTATTGCTTTTCGTAAACATGATATAAGACCAGTCATCTTTCACGAATATTGAGAAGACAATTCACTATTAACGTTGAAGGGCTATGTAGATATTTGACCAATGCAGATTGGCAGTAATGCTATTTTCATTACATTCATCGATGTGCTGCTCAAATTTGTGTCCAGTTCGTGTCCAATGTTGTGCTTCTAATGGTCACACCACCAAAGACTTGTCGAGTTGCGTGAGACGGACACGCCTGATCGGAGGTACAACACGTTCCTCGCTCAGCTCATTACGTGTCATTGCTTGTATGTGTAATGATATCTCTGTTAATTACAAGCAGTTGATTACAGACAACTCGACCTTACACACACAGCTAGTGTTACAATATCTGGCCTACAATCTTAAAAGGATAAACAAGAAAAACCTTTTTAATTTGACACTTAAATACATATAGCTAACGGTAATAATGACTCAAAATACATCGACCTTGCTCCGAACCACCCTACCGATTTAACAGGGTATTTGGATGCTTGAGCTGTTTCTCAATGTACAGCAATACAAAAATCGTATACTTTTAATAGATTGGCTACATGTCCCCCTTTTAATTAACGTTCTGGTTTCAAAGGGCTTGTCGTCAATATTTAATATTCTCAAACACAATATACGTTTGTCAAGGTCGACGCGGATTACATTATGACATACAAATAGAGTGTTCTAATGCCGGAAACGTTTGGGTTATAATTCCGGAAACGTTTGGGTTATAATTCCGGGATCGCTTGGGTTATAATTCCGGACACGCCTATTTTTTTTTGCAGCGATCATAAGTTTAGATGCTTTTGTCAGAGCACTGGTTTTAGTAATGTACCATCTTTTCGATACCAAATGATACACTGTGATTTAACGCTGTGATATAGCGCTGTCCACAAAACAGATTTTATGGTATACACAAGAATTTTTGAAGCGAAATATCTTTCGATGTTGTTGACAAAATACGGAAATAAATCTCGTTTTCTACTTTCATTATTATGGACGGGAATATGTTATGAAGTTTTAGCTTGTATCTACTATTTGATAAATATGTATTGTTACTGTATTCTACTATCCGTGTACACCCGAGGTTTGTAATCAATTCCGTCTCTCTGTCACCCGTCGTTCCGCCGGTCACTAGTCGCTGGTAAGTGTTGTCAGTCTGATATCGTTTGGTGATTGGCTGTATCTGTTTGTGACATACCTGTCTCTGTGTTTCAATGACCAGGCGACATCCGTGTTAGGAATGTCCTGTGGAGAGTTTTATCGAACGCAACACTATCGAGCTGCTAGGATCGTTAGAATTCTTTGGTCTAATATCTACTGTAACTTGTGGGTCACAAAAACGTTTTATTCTGCTACTACCGCAACTCCAAAGTGTTTACGGAATATCGGCCGAACTAGATAATATCATCCGTGAAGTACCATTGTTCGGATATGAAACCGTTTTCTGCTGTTTGGTATTGGAGAATTAAAAGAAAGAAAGAAAACCGATGTATTTTCATTCTACAATTTTAGTGTAATATAATGTGCAGTATACGTCACTGTTGTAAATGATATTTTCTATCGTACTGACTTTTTGAAAATCAATTTTCGTCCATTTAACATCACAAAAGGAAGTATCTGGAGAGTTGTAAGATTAGTTATACAGTATGTGATTGTAAGCTAACGGAACAAAACCAAATCACTTTTTATACGCATTTTCTAGCAATGTAGACTTAGCGATCTCATAGATTAATTCTTTAAAATACTACAACAAAAGATGTAAATTTACACCTAGAAATAAGTAAAAACTATATACAAAAGGTTATAAAACATACTTGTTCATGGTAGTCAATTTTCTGAGGTATATTTCACATAATGGTGCCAGTCTGATATTTAAACCAGTAAACGCAATCTTCCTGAAAGAAACATATTACTTTAATTACAGGTTCAAATCGCCGTATTTTGAAATTGAATTCTATGTTTGCGGTAAGGCGCTGAGGAGGCCGGTCTGTAGAATAAAACAATTTGTACCTTTTCTATATATAGGTATATCTCACCACAAGATTACTAGTTTACAGCTCATCGTCATTACCACTATTTAATAAACAGCTCTCAAGTCTGTCTGCACAAAGGACAGATTTTTTAAAAATAAAGTTTGACGTTGGCCGTCTGGTTCTTTTTCTGTTGACATTAGGTCTTAAATGTCATAGATGATACAGTTGTAACGCCATTCCTGTACACCACAGCTATAACTTTATCGAAATGTACAATCTTTGACTTTAACTGTTGTTGGTTTTCGTTTTCATTATATTTGTCTGTAACATAATATACATGGAGGTCGGGGCACGCACAATTGCAGATTGTGTGGTATTTACTGCTTAACTAGGTAAATAGTACGTTTCACATTAAATAGCTCGGTGAAATACTTATCAGATAAATAACTGGATGAAAACTCACTTTTATTTAATTCGTTTTACGGACAAAGTTTATCGCGATAACATTCGAGCAATTCAAGCAAATAAATTAATTTTCTCTCTCGCGTAAGACAGCGTTCTCTCTTGAGTGTTGCTGTGTTTCCGTGGTACAAACGACAACAGGTCCCGCGTGTCAGCGAAACAAATAACACTTATTTTAGCTAGCGGCATTTGGAAACATAGATTCAACGAGAAAAAAACTAAACGGATTCAACTCCTACAGGATATGCTTGTGTTGATTACTGTATGATTTGACGGAATTATATTTTTTATGTCTGACAAAATGATGATTTTTTTCAAACTGGATTATGGTGCTGTAATATCACATTAAATCGATATTCCCATGACTTGTGTGGATGAACAGTTCATAACAGGATGACCAGTAAATTCGATGGAGCCTCCTATTAAAGAGAACTTACGTTCATTGACAATAGAAAACACGTGTTATTGGATCTCTTCTACATTATCTTGCTACCGAACGGTCGTCGCCGCATTAATCACAAAGGGGCTCCTGGATTACTGAATAAAACAATTTTTATCCTTAAGAATAGATGTAAATGTAATTACGAGCACCGTTCGAAATAAATCCAATATTCCCTGAATTGGAAACGTCTGTGTTAGAGTTGCTGTTGATTTCGTGTCAAGTTTCACATTTTCTGTGTATAGCAGTGCCTGGTGCAGATAGGAAATCTTTTGTTAGAATTTTCATAGCATACTTAAAATGTGATAAAGCTGGGAGACTCCATGACACGTATAAACCTTAATGTTGATATGAGTACTTCTTTGTCCTGGACGTGACGCATTTCTGGTACATAAATAATCTGCACTTTGGGAAAATAAATATAGAGTGACCCCCCTTTACAATTCCGGCTTTGTGTGACATTCTTTTTTTCCCGTGTATATTTATGTTTAAAATTAATTCAAAACAATATATGATAACGTGTTTTAATGAGTCCGTGTTTAATCTGGTTACTGATGTATTGTGGATGTTTTCATTGTACTTTTTAAATTTTATAACAAAGAGAATCTTTGTACTTTGTTTTCCACACAATAATTTGTTTACTTTATTTTTTTTTCAGACAACAGCCAGAAGGCTGACTCTCTTCACGATTCCTCTTCAGGCTTTGCGTCCGATGTTCCCTCCTACAACTCCCATGGGTCTAGTATGACCACATTTAAGGGCGCTCCAGTCACACCCGTACATGACCGGAAGTCAAAAGAGCGAGAACGAGACAAGGAACGAGATCGAGACAGGGGAAATAAACCCCCACCGTGGCCTTCCAATACACCCCCATCTCATAGAAATCCAAACCATTACCATCCGCAAGATCTTAACATGCACTACAGAATGTCGACACCATCGCCGATGTCAAACCGCTCAGTATCATCAGTAAACACCCATTCCTCAGCATCTCACGTCTCGTCTCATCAATCATCGTCATCGCACGTGATGCAGCACACCCCCATACCACCAAAGATCAGCTACAAGAATCCTGCCTATGAATACCAGCTAGATAAACACATGGAGGAAATACAAACCAACATCAAACGAATCGAACTCCAGGAAAGTGATAAAATGACGTCAAAAGGAACGAGATACAGGACTCCAAGACTTTCCATGTTCGACTTGATTACCGATGAAGTTATTGTGAAAATATTTTCTAATTTGCCATCTGACCAACTTTGCAAAAGTTCGCGCGTGTGTACGCGATGGTACAACCTTGTATGGGACCCGTTACTATGGCGACACATTGTGATTAGGAATGGACGTATCAATGTAGATAAGGCATTGAAATACCTCACAAAGAGACTCAGTTTAAACACTCCTTCCGTTTGTGTTCTGGTGGAAAGCATCTCTGTAAACGGATGCGAAAGACTCTCGGATGCAGGACTTCACACGATCGCCAAGAGGTGTTCCGAATTGCGCAGGCTTGAACTGCAAGGTTGTTCCAATATTTCGAACGAGGCGCTCTTCGAAGTGACGTCATATTGTGTCAACCTAGAACATCTTGATGTGACAGGTAAGCTCCTCTGTACATCAGACTTTCATTTCAGGCAGTGATAGAAACGCTTTGTCTGCATGCAGTATACTCTAGAAAGAAAGCTTAAAATTCGAGCGTTAAGCAAGAACGAATCTTTTCCTGAATCCAGGATATTCGATAAACGTATTACAATTGCTTATATTTGTTTTGGTGCATCACACAGATTTCTTTCAGCCTGATAAATCAATATTGAATATCAACTTTCACATAACGAGTCTTTTGCGTATGACGTCATGTCATGATTGTTGTACTTAACGTGTCGTTTACCTGAGGCAATAATAGGACTAAAAAGAACTTTTTACTCTCTGTGATGGAGATCGAGTTGTATCGCTCCGCGGTTTAAAAAATGACAAAAGGCTGTCTCGAGAGCTAACCGTTATAAATATTATTTTGGTTTCTCTGCCTTCGTCACTCAGGGGTAATTGATTATGTTTCTCCTATACTCTCCTCGATCGTTAATAAATACAAATTGCTGTAGTGAACTGAAAACACGAAATATGTCAATATGTCGGTAGGCTAGCCCAAACAAAAAGAGGCCTTAGCTATATGATATACTAGTTGGTAATCTAAGTAATTATAGTCGGAAAGTTGGAGAGATTTGCCGAGTTAATTAAGGACCCTATAAATGAGATTTAAATTACAAATCGGCCGATGTCTCGACCTTTTGTCTAGTGTTGTAACCAATAGTACGCACCATAACCCGTGGTAACAAACTTAGGTCACTTGTATATCAAAGAGAGATAATCTATTTACGTCCAAAGTTTCCTTGTAGGTCTCTTTCTAAAGGATATATAATTGTATTAAAAACGTAATGGCGGGCTAGTTATGATAAGCGCTAACGACAGGTATTTTAGGGAGATAATAGTGGTATTTTAGATTTGAAAGAAGCAGACGACATGTTTTCCCGCGAATGTTTGTTTATCGTCTCAAATACAAATAGAGCCTGTAGAATGTAAACAGTGTGTTGTAGACACAAAACTGAAGGTTGAGTAAGACATTCTATATGTAACAATGGCTTTGTGTACTTGTCGGAGAAGGTGGGGTCGGCTTTTCAAAGACCGTTAATGTCTGATTCCTGGGTTTATTTTGACTTTGTAGTAACCTAAGTCTTGACTAGCCGAAACTCGAAAACAGAATGCAAATTTTCAAGAAATTGTCGATTTTGAATAATCAATTCTTCCATGTTGGAGGAGAAAATTCTCTAGGTAACGCAACTTTTATGTTATAAAGTGGAGATTGATGACGAATATTACAGAAAGATTCGCTACATGATACAAGGCGGACCGGAAGTTTTCTATGGTGATATAAATGTATTGTATATCTTCATACGTTGGTAATTTACTTTTAGTTCGCTTTACCTCAGAAGATAACAAATCTTTCTTTAACTGTATACAACCTTATCTGTTTTTGCGGACCAGTGTACGCGACAAAACATCCGCCATTATAGGAATTTATAATTACACACACGGGGCTATTTCGAACGCGCCTATTGCTACACGACACGTATAGGTATCGAACGCACCTACAAAACACGAGTATAATCAAATCCAACCGACACTTACACACCACATAAAGAAAATATATAATTGCTACAGATTTTTTTTGTCAGTTGTCAGGACTGCTAAGGACGGTCGCCATTATTGTAGAAATTCTAAAGCAATCATTTCAGAAAGCTTATCATCAGTTGTCAAACCCACCACTTAAGATATCAAAATACCAAACGTTATTTAAAACAAAATTGTTATAAATTTCGCCAAATCTATTCTGGTAAAATTCCATATCTCAAACTTAAACTGATTATGTCAACACTTTCTTTTCTTCATATTACAGGATTTTTTTTAAATATGGGAACTGTGTCATTGTTCCTTATAAATGTAATCTTATATGGACAAGCCAGCAATCTCCTTGAATGACAGTCTGTCAATGTTGATTTAAATGTCTAAAAGAGATATACTTTGAGAATGGTAAAAATGTTTGTTAAAAAAAAGCTGCACGCTGATTTTCATTGTTTAATGTACGTTTATATATCTACTCAATATTATCAAATTCTTAATCTCTAGAAACTTTGGGTTACTGCATATCGGTAATCGATAAATTCCGTGTATGTGCAGATTTTACAATCGATACCACACTTTCCAAGGCCGACAGTATTAGAACACACACACACACACACACACACACACACACACACACACACACACACACACACACACACACACACACACGAACGAACGAACGAACGAAAGAGTATTTCTACTCGGCAATAATCGTATTTTCTTGGTATTAAAACACGGACATATAGTCACACACGGGAGCTAACTCTGATACAACAGTGACGCGCATGCGTATGGAGTAATTGAGATGTTCTAACATGACTTGCTGATTATGTTTTTTAAAGATTTCTTTTCTCCTGTTTCCGCATAATGCTACATTTTGTGAAACATTGCTCGTAAGTGACTCGCTGTAATGCATGTTAAGTATAGTAAATCAATCGGACAGCTGAAATTAACACGTTACCTGTCAGTCTGTTCATATTGACATGCAAATCAGACAAATCCCACACAAACGGCACGTATAAAGTTATAACAGGGATCCTATTATTCATTGATGTTATTCCACACTCGTACAAACCCTAAACCCCATAAGACGAAAACAAATTGCTGAGTAACATTTACGACGATCTGTTTTTGATTCGGTTTAAGGTAAATGAATATCTAAAGAATTCAAAGTGCAGGAACTTGCCAGAACATAAATGAAACATGACGAGATACAATGCTACAACCTCTTGATCTTTTACTCAGCATGCTCGCGTGGTTCTTCTTTTCCTATGAATATAATTGATCTTAGTCATTCAGACGCTTCCACGTACAGGAGTTCTATTTGATCAAAGAATAGATCCATTTATGCATGGATCGCATCATGTGTAAAGAAATGTATTTAAATACATAAATTCTTGACACTTTTTTTTTATTTAAATGCACATTTATCATGTTGGAGTCACACGTTTTGTGTAGCTGCATATGGTCGAACGAGAATTCAAATACAGACTGTTGAATAATCTTTTTAGATGTCGGGATTACTTAGACTCTCAATACGATGTTATCAATACCCTGTATATTTTAATATCACTTACACGGAGCTGTGTCATGGATCAAAGTTCAAAATTATGACATTGTATTTTAAAACTTCGTTTCTCAATTCGTGAATAAACCCGATATATAAAAAACGGTACGACGAATTTAATCTCGAATGTAATAAACATACAAAATGTAAACAAAAGTAAATAGCACTATTTACCCCAGATTGTAGGTATTTGCCTCACAGACAACCTAAATATCACTAATATTACACTGTTTTAATATTTTACAGGATGTCCCTGTGTCACAAGTATTAGCCTAACGGATCAAATGCTCAGGCAAGCTTCTGCGCATCATCTCCGTCAAATCCACCTCCGATTTCTCGACATGACCGATTGTTACGCTCTGGACGACGAGGGACTCCGAACAGTTGCTCTTCATTGTTCACATCTACAGTTCCTGTATTTGCGCCGATGTGTTCGAATCGGAGATAACGGACTTCAGTTTATTTCTCACTACTGCACGGGAATTCGCGAGCTCAGCATCAGTGACTGCCGCAAGGTAACAGATTTTGGATTATGTGAACTCGCCAAGCTGGACGATTTACGATATTTGAGTGTCGCAAAGTGTGACAAAGTGTCAGACGTCGGTATAATTCACTTGACAAAGCACTGCCGGAAGTTACGTTATTTGAACATGCGCGGTTGTGAAGCAGTATCAGACGACGCTATGGACGTTCTTGCCAGAAACTGTTTTCGGATTAAGTCCCTTGATATTGGAAAATGTGACGTCACAGACGAAGGTTTGCTAGTACTTGCTCAAAACTGTAGTCAGTTAAAGAAATTAAGTTTAAAATCCTGTGACGCCATCACGGACAATGGTGTGAAGGCGATAGCAAAGCAATGTCGAAACTTACAACAATTAAACATACAAGACTGTCACGTGACCGTAGATGCTTATAGAGCGGTCAAGCGATATTGTAAACGATGTTTCATTGAACATACAAATCCGGGTTTTTACTGATATTAGAAAGTTTTACAACAATTCTGATGGTATTTAGCATCCGTAGCCAGGATGAATAACTAGGGTCTATAGGGAGGGTTAGGTCTCGTATAAATGGAGGTCTGGTCTTGGTGAGGACATTTGTCACACTATTTAAAACGAGGCTCTACCAGGCGTTTGGATTAATGAAATTGCAATCCCAGCGTGTTAACTTCAATATTCGATATACCAAAATTATACTATAGTAGACCTATATCGCTGCTAGACTTCAGTATTCGTTATCGTTATTCATATTCGTTTGTGATCGACCCTCACGTGCTCTAGTTTTTAATTCAACGACTACAAAGTGAATCGTAAGAGATGTCTGTATTTGACCGCTGAAATAGACATGGAGCGATATTCCACCAACATAAGGACTATGATCCTGACCTAAAAGACTGGGCTTGTGTGCAGTAACGAAATGGCGAACCCGTTTTTGTATTCAATATATTCTTTGTGCCAAATTCTACTAGATCTGTATATTACGATGTCAGTATTTTTATATAAGTGTTAGCAACTATGCAGATGTTTATAATATATAGATTTGTATTGATGTATATTTTCCTGATCTATTTGTATTTATTTCCGTACTCGGTGGAACGACTGAAGTCCTGTTTACAATGCTTTGGATACGGGCCACATTATTATTGATATATAAGCGATATCTTGTGGTGTCGCATCGTAATTATCTGTCATAAATGATTGGTTTTGATAAATATGAAAATTCGAGTGCTGCCATAGTGGGCATCCATATTTATTCTATATCGATATTCGGATCAAAGTGAAATATAAAACAAACTATTTCACAAATGAACAAATTGCAGAAAGGGAACATATACCCTTAAGGAATTGGGTAACTGTTTCGCACAGAAATTATCGGAATGTTTGGATCATACATTATGCACGATACTTTGTCAATCATAGGTTTGGACATCCAAATCGCGTTTGTTGTAGTCATTTCCTGACCAATAAGCTTGGATATGTTTGGCTTGGTTACAAGTTTGCAATATTCAACAAATCTACAGCAATGAATATTCGGAATACTGAAAATTGTTATCCAATTTTGGCTATGATTTTGACAAATATCAATAACCACGTTATATCGCTAACCAGGATAGATAATATTTTGATCTGCAGAGATTTTATACTTGACGTTTCAGCAGTTGGGATACCTTGTTATCCGGATTAATGAATCAGTGTAATCACGACTATACGGATTAACTTATCAAATTTGTGTCCGATAGAGATTTGTTTATTGTAATGAGTATTCTACCGAGCTCTGTTTTATGGTAAACGGTTCAGCGTCTTGCTTCATGTAACTTTTATTTGTTGCAACAACCAGCTTGAACCATCATGTACTAAAAATATCCGGTCATATTTAATTCTGTAACTGGAAATGAAAGTGTTTCCTTGTTCCCATTGTTCTCGATAAGAAACAGCTCAATTCAGATCTACGTTATATTTAGCTCTTAATAGAGTGCTATTCTACGCCCGAAAATTGTGATATTTGTTACATGCAATAAAACATCAACAGAATTCCTGTCGTTTGTTTTCAATATTATAACGAAGTTATGAAGATAATGAGACGAGTCATTGCCAACACGTCAGAGGACCAGGGTACCTTGCATTTTGACACCTGAGGTAAGTGATTCTTTGGAATGACATTAAGTCCATATTTGGAAATAAACCAACCATGTTTGTTAGTTTCATTTAAAAGCATTCAAAAGACGGACAAGTATAAGAGAATATGTAATCACAGAAGAAAATTCAAAACATACAAGCAAATGAAGAAACGTGTTTTGATATCGACTACTGTTGTTGAACAAGCGGTGGAAATCTGTTTATATCAAGATGTTTTAAGTATTGTGAAAGTCCCAAGTTTATAATTATGCCTGGTATCAGAAATTAGCATTACTAAAATCATTTTTAAAATCACATCCTTTTAAGGAAAAGAACGATATCGCCTAAACAATTGGCATATGTTGAAGTGTTTTGTAAAAGTGGCCAGTTTTGAGGATCCTTCCAGTTTTTAACCCAGTCTTGGACATAAGCCGGAGATAATGAAGCTTGAAAAGCCTCAAATATTTCTTCAAAACGATGAACGTCTAAATATTTACATATATTATCCTCCTTTCTGCACATTTTCCGCTTAATCTTAACATGGATAACATGACCACTATATAAAATTTCGATCGCAAGTTTCACCGTTTAAAGAGACAAAACTGGATATTGAATGTTTACAACTATAACACACGAGGTTGTTGTTAAAATTTATTATGCATCAATGTACCAAGAAATAAAGCGCAAACGGTCAAATTCAATAAAGTTGTTCTACAAACATTTCACAATCTGGAAGTCAGGGATGCCGACTCCCTATTCATAGAATCTGTGACTGCGGAGTGTTGTTCTAGTGGGACCAAATTCCTATTTCCGGTGAACGGTGTATGATCTGGTTGGACCAAATTCCTATTTTTGGTGAACGGTGTATGATCTGGTGGGACTAAATTCCTATTTCCGGTGAGCAGTGTATGATCTGGTTGGACCAAATTCCTATTTCCTATTTCCGGTGAGCAGTGTATGATCTGGTTGGACCAAATTCCTATTTCCGGTGAACGGTGTATGATCTAGTGGGACCAAATTCCTATTTCCGGTGAGCAGTGTATGATCTGGTGGGACCAAATTCCTATTTCCGGTAAACGGCGTATGATCTGGTTCGACCAAATTCCTATTTCCGGTGAAAGCTGTATGGCTGCGAAGTGTTGATGAAGTTCTCCTTCTCCTGAACCATGTCGGCAATGACGGTATCAATTGCGCCGTGATCGTCAGTAGATGTACAGAATGTCGGCATCATGGACAGGATCCTACATATATTTTTTATATGAAAATAAACCTTGAAAATGAGGGAAATAACATACCATTAAAGTATTTTAGGGCGTCACTTAAAATGAATTTTCCAACAACAGAACTTGGCTTCTGATAATGAATCTCGACGTCTCAGAATAAAAATGATCCTGTGGTCACTGTTTTCCGCCCTGATAATCTCGAACTGGACAAGACTTTGGAGGGAAGTCCTTGGTGTGATCAAGCTAAGGTATTGAGGTTCACATGCTTTTTCAGTTTACCGGCATTGCTCTGTAGGTACTTCACAATTTCTTGTATACTTACCCCTGGATCTACGGAAAATGAAAAAAAAAAAAAGAAAAGAAAGGAAAACATGGCCAAACAAAATCTGATATTGGCAAGAAGAAATTATCCAATGTGTACAACAATTTATCTAAATACTAAAAAACTGAAAATTTATAACTTAATCTAAAGATACAAGGAAAATCCGTTCCGTTGGTAGATCATGTTACACTGAGCTTACCAAGACCGGGGTTTCCAGTTGGAGGGAAGAGGGAAGACGGGTTACCAAACATTCTGTTGAACAGAACCATCGTCAGATGTCACCGTGGCCACGCTGGAAAAGAAATCAAGAATCATGACTACATAACAGAAGTAATATTCAAGTATCAGCTCTCCTTGATGAGACAATCTGACCAGTGTTGCCAAAAGTCGATAGGGGCGTGGCCTGTTGGGTTAGGTCCTGGTCCTTCAGGGCCGTTTGTGGGGAACACTGTCGGTACGGATGAAGATCAGGTCTGGGATGGTGTGGTGCCGGTTGTTTCTTCGCAAATCTTTGCCCTGCAATCTCTCGGGAGATTCTTTGGCTTTCCAGTCCTGAATTTCGTATAAATTTAAGGTGGCTAGAGTTACCTCCCTTGTAATATAGTAAACATTACAAATAATATTTCCATTAGGAGTAGAAGTAATTTCTAATTGTAATAACGAAAATTAATAATTGCTTGTTAATCCTCCTAAATCTGGCTATCAGACATTTATAAAGAGAATGTCTCGTTTTAAATACATGTGCGACAATTTTTACTGAGCTCGATTAAGGCGTTTTTAAGAAGTTCGACGTCAATATCAAGGCGACATTTCCTGTGAAAAGATTTTCGAAATCAAAGTTTTTCTTATAGATAACGTTCGTATGTGTGATAATACATATTGCGAAGGGACAGAACTCACTAAATGGACTTACATTGAAGAGAAGAACGAGCAGACGGCTTATCAAACACGCGAAATACAATGTTATCAATTTGAATTATTCAAACACTGCTGACAAATATTAGAGCAGATATTCAGATAGTAAATACTTCATAATTGGTCTTATTTACATGTAGAAATGAAATCAGCTGTAAAATTTTGGTCATAAAATTTTCGTCCTAGTATCAACTGAACCTAACAATATATATCGGGTTAAAATACATCTTTGGAATTTTGGGATTCGATAAGGAGAAAAAAATCGCATGACAAAAATTTGTGTAACAGACCACTAAAATCATTATCAAAGGTTCATTAAATTTCGTCAAATGACAACGGACAGTACGAGGCGTTTTAATTTTTCATACCCATCATGTTAAGAGGCTAATTGGCCCTGAATCTGAAAAGCAGTGCTGGTCATACCTGAAATTCCTGATGCTGACTGAAATTACTGTTTGGCAGGCCTGCAACATTTCTATGGAATATTCCATTTCTTTATATTCGTAAACAGACTACTGGTAGAAGGGAAGCAACTCTCACAGACTGTAAAGGTTCATTGTAAGGTTGAAAAATAATGGTGATTTAGTAAGTCAATATCCATTTTAGGTCAGAGTTCGACGCAGGCGAATCAAATAAACTTTAGATCCACAATGTTTATAAACGAATCAGAAAACCAGGAACCAAGAAGCAGAGTTATGTGGGGTTCCATATTATCACTAAACGGACATCGCAAATGTATGTCTACATGTGCAGGACACCCGACTCTAGCTAAAACTATTTTAGTCTCCGGTCAGACAACAAAAGTATGTCATACAGACGGCAGATTTAACTATAGTCGGCAGATGGATACTGAAGGCCTTTTATAATGATAAACATCTGGTGTTTTAAAGATGATATAAATATGGTCAGATTGTAAGTAGCAGTATGTTAGTGTCGAATGTAATGTGTAGTCGGTCAATTCTCAAAGGTTTATAAGACTTGTTAATTTTCCGAGCCTTTTCTCCAAATTTACCCGTATAAGACCATTCTACCATTTTAATAAAACCAGCCGTGATAATAACCGATATTATGTTTGTGTACCTATCGCTCCCGACAAGTGATGGTCCGCATTTCACAGGTAACCGTGAAACTGTTCGGTTTACACTGACGTGGTTATATACTTGGGTCAGTTGCTCTGGAAGGCATGCCACATATATCTTGTACGGTATTCAGTGAAGTAGCCACCAGCTTATACTGCTTCAAAGTGATAGCAGTCTCTTCCTTGGGACTATAGACCCTTCAACACTTGTTTTACAAAATATTCTGGTACACGCCAACCGCCACGATTTTCAAATGTGTGACCTCTTGTACTACACTTGTGTAATCAAATTCTAATCAAAATTAGGAAATTCAGACAGAAATGTGTTGCAAACACATACAACTTTACCCATTTAACATGTCCGATAAAAAATGGTTAGGATATTTTGAGATGCTCAATATCCCATTACAGATGAGTAAGGATGTTGAAATGTTAATGATTGCATTCAGTCCTCATTCCGATAGAGACCTACAATGTTGAATGGATTTTTCTTACAGATATCTAAGTAAAAGGTACAGAAGGCATGTATTTCTCAGTTATGACAAATTCTTGTTAAATACACGACTTTCACAGGATAAAGATTAGAGATGCGTGGTCCAATTCTCGTTTGGTTACCCCAGTAACACAAACCGACCCGAGTCATGTTCCGTTGTAGTTGTCAAGTTGGTGGCGAGACTTTCCCCCGAACGGACCTCCCGTATGATGCTCCTTGGATGTAATCGGATATCATAACTCTTCTTCGCGTCAAAATGACCATGGGTGTCACTAGGCAATAACCATAAAAAATCGTAGGCCAGTATCGTCTACAGCATTATCTCGTGTAATCATGCCAAATAAGGTCTTCATAACTGAAGGTTGCCACTTAGAATTAATGTACACGTAATATTACTGTACGGTATGCCTATTTTTCTTTAACAATTCTAATGCGTTATTGGTAACCTTGTGCTAACCCGATTTTATAATCCTGAAGGAACTCTTTCCCATACAAGTTACACTTTCTGAAAACCTCGGGGTATGAAGGAAAGATTTTCAATACGATTCCCAAAACGTTGAAGGCATCACGTCTTAATACTCTAGAAATTTTATAAAAATATTATGTGGTCCCTTGTTGGTAAGTCTAATTTTTGTACGACATTTCCCGTTTTAAAGTGCGATGCAAGTTTAGATAATTTAAGGATTTTTTTTACATGCGGAGTCTGGTGTCGAAAATTGTAATGGCGTCACATAGAGACGTTAAACGGTGTGAAAAGCTTGGAAGTTTCATAATTTAGAAATAAATCAAAATGACTCCTTAAATCCGACCGAAACATTCCCACAAGCAGAATATTGTATTTTGTTTACAAAAAACCAACGCACAGTTCTGCGAATAGGATTAATCACTCCGTCATTAATGTATAGGTCCATTACATCGGTCATGTTAATTGTCCATTTAATTTGGTTTTACAGTCATGCACGTTAGTGTGAAAGTGGAAGTCGTTTAATAAAGGACTTAGTTCGATCCGGTCCACTTTAGACAACAAGTGTGATATTGTTAAGGCCGGTTCTTTCTCCAAGAATATCCACAACTTTTGCCTTTTCTCAATTTCATCAAGAATTTGGCAGCTGGCACAACCTATGGAAGGTCTATTTTCCTTTGCGTTGTATAATATCGTCAGCTATAGCTCTAGGGATGTTACTTTTCTCCTGTTAAGTCAGTAAAGGCCATGTTTTATGCGCTTGTAATTCCATTTATTGCAAGCATCTCGCTAAAGTATATATCAATATGGTCGATTCTTTAACTTATGTCGATTTTAAAATCGTAATTTCAGTATATGAAATGTTTAACAATAAATTCATGATTTGTTAAAATTTATTCATCAATAACAAAAAGCACAAACGTTCAAAATCAACGAATATCAACGATGCTGTTCAACAAAGATTTAACAACCTGGAAACTTCTTATCGCAGTGACTTGGGACCAAATTCCTATTTCCGGTAACCGCCGTAGGACTGCGAAGTGTTGATGAAGTTCTCCTTATCCTGAACCATGTCGGTAATGAGTGCATCAATTGTGCCGTGATCGTCAGTAGATGTACAGACTGTCGGCATCATGGACCGGATCCTACAACGAAAACTAAACTTTAGTAGCTTACCGGTATTTAACCATATGTGAAGTTGTATCAGATTTTCAGGAATAGCTTCCAAACGGTTTTAGAAAAATATCGTTCGTTAACGGCAAACTCGGATTTACCAGAAACAAATGGTCATCCTTTGCATAAAAAGGCGTTTATCCACGCCGATATTTTTAGGACTTTTGGAAATGTATATTTAATTGAAATCGATGAAGCACTAAAAAATCATACTTTTTCAGTTTATCGACGTCGTTCTGAAGGTACCTCACGATTTCTTGCATGGTCATTCCTGGGCCTACGTAAAACAAAACAGGACCATTTGAAACTGAACCTAAGTAGGGCAAGAGGGCAAGAGGTACGTGGGTAGGGGTCGGGAGAGAAAGGGAGGGGAACACTCGACCATTTGAAACCGAACCTACCGAGGGTAAGAGGGTAGGTGGGGTGGAGAGGGGTGCGTAATCCAATTACCAATCCATTCAATATAAATTCACAATTTTCCCGATTTATGAAATCAATTTGCGATCGTGAAAACAAGGAGTAGAATATCGTGTCTGCTGTTTGTCTTTCGGGAAGCAGAAAATAAACATCTATCAAAATATCGCAAGTGTAAGTGTACGTACCAGGACCGGGGTTTCCCGTAGGAGGGACGGAGTTGCCAAACATTCTGTTGAATAGGAGCATGGTCATATTCCACTGTGGCCCAGCTGGAAAGAAACGGAACATTTATTTTGAAAAGTGCAATCTAGATTTCCGAAATGCAGATCACCTTATTCGCAAGGTTATCGTTGAGCGTCGATCTAATGTAAAGTTACTTACTCAGACTGTTTGCCATAAAAGTTGGCGGAGAAAGTGTGGCCGAGGCTAGGTAATCTTCATATCTAGCGAGTTCCGCCATTGTCCCATTGACGTAATCGAGGACAACATGCACCAGATTTTGTATAGCTTGGTCAACTGCGAAAGGGTCATTTGGTACAGATGCCGAGTATGAGAACATTTCCTGAAGGTGAGTAGTGAGAAAAGCAACTGCTAAACCGGACTTCCGGGCCTTCCAATAACTGCAAAGGAAATCGAAATTCTTTAGCTGTCCACACGAACGACAACATTGCTTAAAAATACATCGAGATGCAAAATCATAGTCTTTAATATAAGTAAAACACGATCTATTTATTGTACTTACTAAGAAGCCGATAAGTTGGCTGCTCGCTTGTGAACTTCGATAAATTCTTGGGGTGATGGACATCGGAATGCATCGGGATAGTAGGTAGTGTCAATGCTAAAGAATTCGTTTTTCATCTGAGAGATGACATCAGTAATGGCTGCAAATTCGCCTCTGTGGAATCGCTCAAGGAAAGATGTCGCTTTCCATTTGTAGTCACGCAAAAACCAATCTAGACCTGAAGTCAAAACATTCGGCATCATTAATGAGCCAATGTTTGATCACCATTAAATGATGGGGCAATGCCTGATGTGAACATTTAAAGTAGAGCTATGGAGATTATATATATCGTCTTAAAGACTAAAGGTTTCTGTACCAATATAGCCATTTTATTAAAACTGATGAATAGAAAACGTAAAAAGGTTTATGGCCTTACTTTCGAACTCCTCTTCCTGTAGGATTCCTATGAAAGTTTCGTGGACGACGTGATGAACTCCCCACACTAGTTCTGGCGCCATGTGGAGCATATTGGGGTTATCTGGGAAGGACTGGTTCAATACTTGTTCGATACGACTTTTCAGCGAGGTGTCGTGAGCAGCCATCATGGTGTCAAGGCGTCTCCTCATGTAATCTGAAATGTCCCGAATGTCACGATTTTTCGTATACAAGTCGCTTATATATATCTGTATGCGTTTTCTCATCTGTATAACTGGAATAAGCTGAAGCTTTTATCCTGTGAATATTGCGGAAAAGTTCCAAGTTTATAGCAACTGCAAATTCTTTAAAGTGAACGCTTTGCCGTTTTATGACGATTAAGGCTACAATCAAACGCTATCCTTATCGTAAAGGAATAGAGCCTTCAGTGTTGACCGAGTGGTTAAATTGCACAACTGAACACTGGAATTAACAGCTACAAATATGATTGAAGCAGCCTTAAAAACCATGAAGGTTTGAAGGTATGCCGCTTTTGTATTGGTTCTCACGTCAGACAGCGACATCAGGGCCCGTATTCATGAAACCGTTCTCATGCTCATGCATAAGATTATTGTACTCGGGATACTTTCATAATTTACCCAAATCATTCAATACAAATGTCAAATGTAAACATTGAATATAGATTTAAGCTCAAGTTCTTTCAAAAATGGTTTTCAAAACCGACAAAATCAGCCTTTATTCATTTAACTGAAACGGTATATAATTGAGCACAAAATTAATGCTCGAGCACGAGAACGGTTTCGTGAATAAGGTTCCTGGTATCTAAAGAAACTATACTTACAGACAAAGACCCTTTGGTACATGGTGGTTGTACAGTTGACACGTTTGTCCAGTACCAGTCTGGCCATGTCTTCGGTCATCTGGTCAATGGCTACACGTACGTTCTTAAGGTATTTGAACGTAGCCATCAACCTGGTCAGTACACGTTTGATCTCATCAGGTGAAATGACCATGGAATCTGTAAATAGTTGATCAATTCAGTGGACCATGTCTACACGTTTCAAACAAGGAGTAAACCAGACGTCATTATCGTAAAACTATTTCGAATATCGTGTACACCGAATGATCACGTGATCATTTTATTTTAGCCAGATTTTCAAGGTGATCACTTGATATGTCATCGTGTTAAATACACGGCGTCCAAGGATAGGATCGTGTAGATTATGGGCTTGGATACAAGTGATAAATTTGTGTCACGAACCTAGTGGGTTATTCGTGTGCAATATTGTGTAAAAGAATTTAAATGAATGACTGTATGCAATATCTAAAATTATGTATGCAGTATGGAAAGTTGTATCATATTTGTAATGTTTTTACAGATAAGTTGTGAAAACTTTGGTCGAAACTTCAAACTTTTAAGAGCATTAGGTGAATTAACTTCGTTGGATTGTACCCAATTATACCCCAGTTATGAGAACTGTTCTAACAGTTCTAATATGTATAGTGTACATGCCTTTTGGCATCCTGGTATTGGGAAATCCGGTGAAGTATTGTTCAAGTATGCTTTCCATGATGGGACAATCTAACCAGTGTTGCCAGAAGTCGATAGGGGCGTGGCCTGTTGGACCAGGTCCTCCTGGGCCGTCTGTTGGGGACCAGGTCGGTCCAGATGGGGACCAGGTCTGTCCAGATTGGGACCAGGTCGGGGATGGCGTGGTACTAGCTTGTTTCTTCTCCAGTCTTCTTCCTATCATCTTCGCAATCGCCGAGTACTCTTGACGTTCGAATGAAGAAATTCCTATAGAAAAAAAAAACGAACAATCAAAGGTAACGACTTTTAAGTACGATATAAATTAACTATTCGGGTATTTTACCTCGTGTTATTTAAATATTACCGTCCGGTTGTTATAGCAGATTTGTTCCAACAAGCATGACCATCTTAACATTCAATACGCTTCACTTTGTTGTTAAGTCTGATAACCATATAAAATTAAAATTCTGCACTTTGTGCTTGGTGCACCAATTGGACCGTGCTTATATTTGAAGAAATCGCAAAGGCCACAGCTCGAGAATCGCAAAACATCCAATGTTGGGAGGTTTTCACAGATGAAAATGATACAGACCGACAGTATCCAGTTACTTATCGTGCTGCAAAGGGGTAAATTATGGTAAACTTACAATGAATTGGTAAATGGTACGGTCACTTCGTAAAATATTGAACCGCTAAAATGACCAGACTAAAAAAAAAAGTTCTTTTGACGGAACGTTTCCATACACGTGTAGCTGCCGTATCGTATGTTAAGCTATCGAAAAGAGTGGGAAATTATTGAAATGGTAAGAAATTGTGCTTAATACGTGGATGTTATTTCGACAGGAATTTCGCCCTTTTATGGAAACTTGAATTGCTAGAATTACCATGTACTGAAAATAATAAAGGCAGTTCAATGAGACTATAGCCCGTGTAAAAGTATTGGACTCTGGAACAAATTCGCAGCATAGAAGACATTTAAAAGTAACATTATCAAGGATTTATCAAGGATTTCACATCCAGTCTTTTGGATGGCGCAGCAGAAACAACCTAGTTGCGGAGAATTAAAGTACCAAATTCTTGTAATATAAGGTTTAACAATCTTGGGACGGAGAGCTCAAATACAGTGGAGGGGACACAACTCCTACGATGAAGACGTGTACAAATAAATGTAATAGCATCAACACAAGGTAGCTACACACAGTAAGTTATTTTGAATTAATCTGTTTAACAGACTCCAGACACTACTGAAAATTGGTATTCTACGTAATTAACAAAGCATTTAATAAAAACATTTATCAAGAGATATAGAAAGGAACCGATAAAAAATGACAAATACTTGTGCGGAGATGTAACAAAATCACGCATTTTCCTTACAATAGATCACATGTATGGGTTCATAATATTCAAAATTTAACACAGATTTCAGTAAATTTATATACTGTAAAAAACTGAAAGCGAACCAGATGATAAGAAAGAGAAAAGGTCCACCTACCTTGAATCGTGCAGACACACGCCACGACAGCTAGCCATGTTGATACACCCATGTTTCTTCTGTACTTTTCTCCCCGTCACCAACAACTCACCTGTCTCGAACACAATCGACTGACGAAATCTGAACGTGAACTCGCTCCTAAATAGCCCACTGAGTCATGCTCATCGTCCTTCGGGGCGAGAAAGACGCAATGCACGTGCAGTTCGGGACATTTGCAGGTGCGTGTGGCGTTTGATAATGCTTAATCAGCATAACTTACAGTCAATTTGCAGAGTACGCGTGCATTTTACTTTCAAACTTTCAATTTTATTCGCATTATTCTTTTTACAAATGATGTACAGAGAAGACATATATACATCATCAAATAGATATACAATATATAAGGAGCACAAACTACCGGACGTTTTGAAATATAACGTTTATAAATTTGTACTGATTTGAGAAATATACATCCACTTGGACTGGATAAAGATACCTTTTATAAGAAAAAAATATGCACCACAAACTTTTCCATTTAGATAAATTTGTTACAACAAAACGTCTTATTTAGGGTGTCGCGCCGAGAACTGTGTGAGGTTTCAACACCGAATTTAATTTCTACGACAAATATAAAGAAATAGTGTGAGTTATATATTTTTTTATTTGTTTTTGTTTTGATTGAAATACTAATTTAGATACATACATCAAGCTATCAATAGTTCATGATCGATTATCAGATTTCACATAGACCAACTGAAGCATTTTAAACATTATTCACACTCGTGTTTAAAATCAACAATGAATGCTTAGACTAGGAAAACTTTACTTAATAAGTACAATAATGTTAAACATGTATAATAAGATATCAAATACATATTAATCGGCTACCAGGGACCAGTTTACAGCTACGTCTTTATAAACAATAGGCTTGGCGACATTCTGCTTCAAAAAATTAAAGTCCTCTGTTTCTTTAAAAAAAAAATATTAAATTTTCCCCCTTTAACCCTGTATGACTATATTTTGCGAATCAAAGATTTTTTTTCAACATCTGGGATATTTTTAAAACAATTGTAATTATTTCAACAAATAACATTATTTTAGCACAGGTAAAATTTTCTATCTCTAACGAATAAACGGTAAGACGTAGCTTCTAGGTCAGTCACAGATAAATTATTATCAATTGTTTAATAACAAAATTATCGCGGAATTTATTTAATAAATACACGTTAGTTATAACAACGATCTGAAAACTATAGTCGTAAAAGCTCAGTACCTAAACAAATGCCGGGTTAAACACTGAAGATTTACCTACAGACATTGATGGAACTGTACACACAAGCTATTAATTTGATACATAATATAGAATTTATTAAATCAACTATTTGTGTCAAACAAATAAAGCGTATGCATTTTAAACCATTGAATAATATTTAAATGTGTCTCCGAATTTCCACTTTCCTTCGATAGGTTTTACTCAGATTTCGACATAAGTGATACAGAGTAAATATACTGTCTCGGCTGTTCAGCAGAAATCGCCCTAGGGAAACGAATCAAGGGAAGTAACTCTAGTAGTACAGAATGTCATTCACAAGACTACAGACAAAAGTTTGGAGATATATTTACAATATCTAAGCACTGCAAGACACGTGCTAATCACTTTCGTAAAATAAAAAGATAAGAAGATTGAATAATTTCACTGACGGGCGTTAAGGTATACCATATATCTGTAGATTGTAATATACAAAAATTAATAGCTATTAAAAATGAAATAAGATAAAAATAATTATAATAAGAGGCAGCAGTAGGATTTTAAAATATTTAACCAATGTGACATTAAAAATAGGATCCAAATTCAAATTCTTTAGGCCTTTGGCCTTTCTGATAATCAGATTTTTTTACGACATAACCTATAGCCATCAATGATACAGTATTGTGGAGAGTGACGCAGCCTTATGTCTCTAGATAATAAGGTAAAATAGTCAAATAATATGACAACACTGACTCGTTACATAGATACAAACGTATACAAGTATATTGTAAGCAACAAGGATGGTGCCAAGAATGAACTTAGAAGTCATAGAAATAGAGAGTATAGAAAGTATAGTGTTGGTCATGTATTATCAGACTTTATATTAGCCAATCATTATCACCGACCAAATACCATAGCCATGAGAAGGACCTAAGGTCAGAGGTCAAGGTTGCAACTTGCTATATATTTACAATATGTAATGAATCCATATATACATTGTAGGTACATCAAAACCTGTCACAACGTATATATGTGACGTGTCGATGACTACACTGTCACATTCATCTGACCAATGACCAGTATGAAGCGCAATTTCTACGGGATACCATGGGTTACGTCCCCTTAGCTCTTATCGAGTCGTAGGCACGAGAACGCACAGGCAGAATAAGGCAAGTCATGGATTTTTATCACATCACTAATTAAATCAGGACTAAGTACGTAGGTACTGTTTTACTCGGAGATCCGTACAACCATGATTGTATAGGTATACTGTTGTAGTCTACATAGAAGGTACATATCTACATGTTCAATGATTAGAAGATTGTTACAATTCAGTTCAGCAATATCTATTGAATATGATGATGATGGTGATAATGTTTCAGTTTTCGTCTCTGTGACTCTGCCGTCGTCTGTTGAATAAAAACATATTTTTTTTTAAAAAATATGAGTGCATATGGTTAGTTCTTTCGAAGGCCGCGCCAGTAAACTGAGAACCGCTGTAGTTAACGGGGTATTTTCTGAGTTGTTTGCCTGGACAGGTGTGAACTGTAGCCATCTCTTTCATGGGCTAATTTCTCATCGTCTGCATGTAAGCATGTAATGTAATAATCCTAAGCTGTTGTCAGAACAAGCACCTTTAACAGAAATACAACCATAAAGAGATTTAACAATTAGAAAACATCATCATGGATTCCATTCTTCAAAAGTTTACTCCAAAGGTTCACTCTGTCGACGTCATCAAAAGTTTACTCCAAAGGTTCACTCTGTCGACGTCATCAAAAGTTTACTCCAAAGGTTCACTCTGTCGACGTCATCAAAAGTTTACTCCAAAGGTTCACTCTGTCGACGTCATCAAAAGTTTACTCCAAAGGTTCACTCTGTCGACGTCATCAAAAGTTTACTCCAAAGGTTCACTCTGTCGACGTCATCAAAAGTTTACTCCAAAGGTTCACTCTGTCGACGTCATCAAAAGTTTACTCCAAAGGTTCACTCTGTCGACGTCATCAAAAGGAAGTCAACAAAACAAAAGCACAACTTTTTCTTTGATGAATGGCTTTTAGTTATAGACGGAATCAGTATCAGCTGGTCAGAAACCACACTGCATCGCGCAAAACCACACTGCATCGCTCAAAATATCATTGATGTCACAAACTGTCAAGTAAATAATAATGAAATAACAAAACAGATTATTTGGGTCATAAATAGCATCTGATAATTTCCATGAAAACAAGTGTCTGACTTGCTGACAGCCATTGATCTGTGTGGTGCCTGTTGTTTCCATTGACAGATTTGTCTGGTATGTTGTCACGGAAGACTATTAGTTTTACTGAAAATCTGCCGACAGACTGATTTACAAAATGTTGGAATTATCTAGAAAAAATATAAATAAAACAAAAACAAGACACTTTAATGTTAGGTATTTTATTGAATTACATGTGGATAATAACCTCTAAACCAGTATACTATGTAGGTACAGTGTCAACAAATTCAAAGAGGATGGAAAATGGCATAAATACAAATCTCCTCCCAGAAAAAAACCAGGCATACTAGCAAAATTAAAGGAATACACGGCTTGAGAAAGCATTTCTGACATTTTAAGATTCTTTATAAGTAGGAATGTCTGTACCAGAACAATGTAAACTCCCTTGTAAGGGTAGGCCATATTAATAGGTTTTCATGTAAATGTCCAGTCCGTACTTACAGGTTTTCACTAAACAGTCCAGTCCTTACTTACAGGTTTTCACTAAACAGTCCAGTCGGTACTTACAGGTTTTCACTAAACAGTCCAGTCCGTACTTACAGGTTTTCACTAAACAGTCCAGTCCGTACTTACATGTTTTCACTAAACAGTCCAGTCCATACTGACATGTTTTCACTAAACAGTCCAGTCTGTACTGACAGGTTTTCACTAAACAGTCCAGTCCGTACTTACAGGTTTTCACTAAACAGTCCAGTCCGTACTTACAGGTTTTCACTAAACAGTCCAGTCCGTACTTACAGGTTTTCACTAAACAGTCCAGTCCCTATTTACAGGTTTTCACTAAACAGTCCAGTCCATACTTACAGGTTTTCACTAAACAGTCCAGTCCCTACATACAGGTTTTCACTTAACAGTCCAGTCCATACTTACAGGTTTTCACTAAACAGTCCAGTCTGTACTTACAGGTTTTCATTAAACAGTCCTGTCCATACTTACAGGTTTTCACTAAACAGTCCAGTCCATACTTACAGGTTTTCACTAAACAGTCCAGTCCATACTTACAGGTTTTCACTAAACAGTCCAGCCCTAATTAACAGACTTTTAATAAACAGCCCTTTTCCTACTTATGGGTATTATCTAAACAATCAAGCCCATACTTATAAGACTTTGGTAAAAATGAATGTGTTAAATCAAGAAGCGTCTATGAAATGTATTATCAGAAAACCAACTAATATTCCTTTTTAATTGTACATGGATGTACCGAGTATCACAATTAGTTGGTATCCATATCTGTATCAAACCAACATCAAAAATCTTTCAATAATAAACTAAAAAACACATTATCTTAAGTTTGTCCCATGTTCAAAAACTATCATATAATTTCACATATCAAAAGGACATTTTACCTGACATCAGAGAGAGTCATATATATCAACATAGACCTGAAGTGAACCTTTCTTAATAAGCGAAACTTTTCAAAATTCAATGGTATTTTTTAACTTTTTTTTATGACAATTATTTCTAAACAACATTATAACTGCAAATGTATGTATGAGTAAAGAAAATAGAAATTACTTCTGCTAACAAAAATTTGATCTACAAGAAATTATCTCTGGTGAATATTATAAACCTGTAATGAGCTGTAGAACTATTTAACAAAAGAAGACACAATTAGCATTGTGAGCTAACATGCAGCCATACATCAATATCATGTACTGTAAAAAAGCCTGACCTTAACTAAGTTTATGGGGAAAAATTACAACAAAAAACAAATACAGTAAAAATATGCCTGTGTCACCAGTGAATTCATGTATTTCTATTAAATCATGAAGGATATGAAAAAAAGTTTTTATTAATAAGACAATAGATAACTACTGTATATGGTATTCTAGATCAAAATGAGGAAGAAAGAAAAAAAAAAAAACTGACAATTACCCATGCTGGAACAATAAAACTTATCCAAAACCTTAAAACAAAGAAAAAAAAATCTTGTAAAATCACAGTAATAGCCTTCTTTGGTGAAAATTTATCTTTGTGAACATCAATCTTTTCCATCATACTCTTCTTAAGCAAAAGTGTTTTGTTTGCAGAAATCAATTATGTTGGTTCTGATGAGGACAAGCCGAAACATGTTAATAAAACCACAGATTCCTGATGTTGATGGTGTATCGGCTATGTCATTTATGTTTATATAAATTGTAGTAAACTGGGTTTATAATCAATGATATACAAAATTTATCAAAAAAAGAAAGTAGAAAAAACCCTGCAAGATATGATACAACTTTATCAGCTAGAACTTGATGTTGTACTGGTGGTGCTGATGGCTGGTATGTACATCTGTTAAGATGAACTGGATACCTTTTTACCGGTCAAGGTTCTTTGTACCTACAGTAATTGTCAACATGGATTTTTATACAAACATGTCAAATGGAAGTCAATTAATGCTAATGTATAATACAATCAATGGACAAATGTGTGAAGTCTACATTCTAATTATAAATATAGCAACCAATGGTAAATTGTAGATCTGTAATCTAAATATAGCAACCAATGGTAAATGGTGGCTGTATAATCTAGATATAGCAACCAGCCACAGATGGTGAAATATATCACCTAAATATAGTAACCAATGGTAAATGGTGGTTCTAGAGTCTAAATATAGCAACCAATGGTAAATGGTGGTTTTGTAATCTAAATATAGCAACCAGCCACAGATGGTGAGATATATCACCTAAATATAACAACTTATAGTAAACTGTAGATTCTATATTTTTAACATAAACATCAATGGTAAATTAAGGATTCTAAATCTAAATATAGCAACCAATTATCCACGTAAGTGTAATTTCTGTAATAAAACAACAATCGAGGAGAACAGGTAGCTTACCATACCATATATACACCACTGCAGTCAATAGCAATAGGAATGTTTAATTATATCCACATAAATAATCTTTACAATATCACAGATGCTTAGAATATTAATTCAAAATAAAATCTGAAATAAAACCATCCTGCAAAATGACGAACACAACAATACCTTTGGGTTATTCCAAGATAGATCATATAGAATGGGTGTGCAGGTTATGGTGTCTGACACATATAAAATAGAACTCATTAATATGGTACCAAGGGTAAGTTTGTGAGCAGTGCTAAATGATGTTCACCCCTCCAAAATGACAACTTTGACAACTGCAAATCACCAAATCCTACCTTATTTATTTGATTAAGTCAGATATACCTTGTAAAAGTTGAAATGTAATCATATATTGGAATCTTAACTCTACCACCTTGACATCTGTTACTCCTGCAAGTCATTTTTCAACATGTATGATGTTAACTGAAATTTATGTACCCCCGTATACATCTTTTTTTCGTCTCTTAAGGGAAAGCTAAAATATTTGAGATTGAAATTCTTCTTAAAAAATGTAATTACCACCACATAATTTGTAAAACTGAATAATTTGGAAAAGAGAATAATTCCTACCAAATGTGTTTTACTGACACTCAGAACTCTACACAATAGTATCACAGACTCATTAACAAACAAACATACCTTTAGCAATGAATAACAATAACATATATAATATAAACATATTATCAAGGTCTAACAAACAAGAGGCCACATAGGCCTGTATTGGTAACATGGTCTGTCATATCTAGATTGACACAGAGAATACATACTATTATTCAATAGCAGTACAAATTTGACATCCAAAATAGTTTCTGAAATAATGTCAATATTATGGCCACTTAAAGAAAAGAAATAAGAAAAGTATCCATTTGACTTTTCAAATGTACATTTAGCATAACTATTCAATTTTTTTCAGAGATTCTTTCTGATATTTTGATAAATTAGAATTAATGGACATAGATTGCCCAATTCATCTTAAAATATAAAAAAGTAGATTGAAAAAAAAACCCAGCTAGATGCTGGACATTGATATGAAATATTCACTTTACCCGTAGGGTCAGGTTAAAAATAGAATGTGTGTACATTACTAACTATCAGTCATCCTACTTTAAATAAACATGTTATTAAACACATATAGACTATCAATACACATAGACCATCAGTCCAATACCATAGCATTTAACAGGTATTTATATAAACATAAAACATTGTTAAACAAGTACACATACTTTATAACCATACAGATGGAAACAAAAAAAAATATATCTCCCTATTCACTGTCAATGAAAGGTGCATCATTCTATGGACGGAAACAAGTAAATGTGGTTTTATAAAAATGTTGATGGACAAACGTTTGCAGCTGATCAAAGTTTACAAAATGACTACTGGACTTGTATTACAAGTACTACTGAAGAACTCCCAACAACAATAGTCAAGAGATTTTATCACAGACTCATAGTTAAAGCTTCAATGGCATACACAAATCTGAATTCATGGTCAGATAACTTTCCACTTACAATTTTCCAATCTTCAATACTACCAATAAATTTCATCTTGTACTAATGTAACAGAATACATGTATTTCACTTGTTTTTTATGACCTGATATATTGTCTTCTCCAACACAAAACACAACAACAAAAAACACCTGCAATAACGGACCAGTATATTTCAACATCCTGTCTGATGTGAATGATTTTTCACGCTCCACTGGGTGTTAAATAAGTTCTTCTTAAGTCAGACAGTTTGCTGCTAATCATGATTTTCAATCAGATATTATTGCTATTAAATGAATTGGTTTATGATCAGCTGTTTATAACGTAAATATGTAATATATCTATTATTTTGATATAAATAGAACAATAATTAAATAAATATAGATTTTGTTAATTCTATTGTTTTCTTTTCTATTCTACAATGAATTAATTCCTCAGTGATCTAAAAATAGTTTTGTGTTGCAGGTAGAAGCGTGGATGTCAATTCTATGTAAGATTTACAATTCATGCTTTAGACCAGATCTCCTTGCTGTCTGCAATATCAACAGATATAATATTTCTTATGGCGTCAAATCATATAAACCACCGATTCTTTACTTGACAAGCTACATTATAGTTTCAGATTCTGAAATTTAAATATTTATTTTCACATTTGGCACAAGTGAGAAAAAAAAACATTAATCCATAGTACAAACAGTACAGTATATGCACAGTGCAGTTTATATAGACCATCTTCTGGTGTGTATTTACAAGTGCATATCTTACCTTGAGGTACGGTATGTTCAAAACACAAAAGTCAACTGTGCCAAATACCCCAATATCAACTAAAACATGTATTCAATAGAAGCACTGTTGTCTCCTTACAGATATTGTCATTATCTACACAATTATCTCCCTTGTGTCCCTAACATTGTATATTATTTAGTAAGTGTGTGGGCTGGATTGGGACAGTAGACCTTACTGGTCCCTGAATCTGACACTGCCTGTTGGAGTTTGTCACTGACAATCTGTCGCTTTAGCACCTTTAAGACATACCTACCAACTGAATACAAATTCCTATTTTGGTATTTAAGTTTCTGTACTAGATAATCCGACTTTTTATCACTGATACCAATTCTTGTTTCTCAATTGATGAAATTCTGACATATCCTTATAAGTTTGAGAATAGAAGCACTAACAACAAATTTTCCCACATTACCTGAAATATTTGGCTATGTTCTATTTATACAGGTAAGTTTATAATTCTGTAATAAATTATTTAAATGTTACCCTGGTACAGGTGGTAATTTGATCTTGTTTTCACCTCAACAATAATGTTAATTAAAGAATATATTTTGAGGATGTGGTTTCCTGGGATATGTTTTACAAACATATGATAAAAACCCAGGATTCCTTTACAAAGCTATTATGACTGATGTATAATGATGGAGGGGAGATAATTTCGTCAGAAATGTCAATGTGCATTTTGTTCTCAATAATTTATACTCATTTTAAATAGGAATGTTTTACACATTAGATAACATAAATAAAGATAGTAATTTGAAATATTTAAACTGGAATATTTTACACTCAAGGGAATGTCACATATTTCAATGAGAGTTCAGACTATGTTTCCCATTCAGTGAACAAAATTCTGTTGAAAACTAACGTCAATTTTACAGATTAACGTACGAGTCTTTCATGTATAATACTTACCCATATGTAATTTAAAAGGATGATTATTGTTGTCTAAATATACAACTAACATAAAAAATAATCACAAAAATAAACAAAATATGTATATGATAATTAATAGGTGTGGTTATCACAAGTACACCTGTAACAGTTAACATTGGTTCTGTATCTAGTCAAACCACATCAACTCTGTTCATCTTCTGCAGCATTTAAACCCGCTTCTCCTTCACCTTCATATAAGAATCATAACTTGTCTTTGCCAAAGCCTCAAGTTCAGTTCTTGTTTTTGTCTTCAGTTTTTCAAGCTCTGCGTTGTCAGTGATTTTGCCCATGTCCCCACTGTACATGATCCATGGGTGAGACAGTGTATCGATTGCAGTGTAGCGTTTCTTCTTGTCTACAACCAGCAGGTGTTCGATCAGGTCCTTGGCACCTTAAAACCATAACATAACATGTTTGTACTGCTTATTATAAAAAACATAAAAAAGATTATGTAAAATTTACAAATTCTATGTTACAATCTGTTTTAAATGTCGTGTATACCAATGGAGTGATATACCTGTTTAACTCAATCTCCACTTTTACTTATGACTTCCCTTCTATGTCCGACTTTAACAGTTTTTTTGTAAATCTTCATGCCAACATTTTTAATGAACAGCAATCCCATGATGAGTCTAGGAAAATGTCACTAGTAGTTACCACATAGCTCCTACAATAAGCTTACTCCAAGTGACACCTACCTTTAGTTATCTGGTCCCAGTAGGGACTAAGGAACTTAGGAGTGACACATACCTTTAGATATCAGGTCCCTGTAGGGACTAAGGAACTTTGGAGTGACACCTACCTTTAGATATGGGGTCCCAGTAGGGACTAAGGAACTTAGGTGTAACATCTACCTTTAGATATCAGGTCCCTGTTGGGACTAAGGAACTTAGGAGTGACACCTACCTTTAGATATCGGGTCCCAGTAGGGACTAAGGAACTTAGGAGTAACACCTAACTTTAGATATCGGTCCCAGTAGGGACTAAGGAACTTAGGAGTAACACCTACCTTTAGATATCGGGTCCCAGTAGGGACTAAGGAACTTAGGAGTGACACCTACCTTTAGATATCGGGTCCATGTAGGGACTAAGGAACTTAGGTGTAACATCTACCTTTAGATATCGGGTCCCAGTAGGGACTTAGGAACTTAGGTGTGACACCTACCTTTAGATATCTGTCCCAGTAGGGACTAAGGAACGTAGGTGTGATACCTACCTTTAGATATCTGGTCCCAGTAGGGACTAAGAAATTCATATTCTCCTCCTTTGATGAACTCAAACAATTCTGTCTGATTTCGGTCTGCGCTTCTAAAGGGAGGGAATCCACATAACAGAATGTAACAGATGACACCCACTGCCCACATATCTACCTCCAGGCCGTAACCTAGCAACAAAAAATTAGAGAATGTAACATTATTTCAAGAGAACACATGAATATAAAAAAGAAACACAGATACAGGGATAAATCTTTACTGACATTCTGATGTCAAACTCAACGATAAATGGTACAAATATGTCATTATGTTTAAACAGGTATGTTGAACGTTATAATCCTCAATCTAAATATTTACATCTGCTCACCACTGTCCTGAGACATCAGTACTAAACCACCATTAACATTATAACACTATAGATACAATTAGTTCTATTGCAGTATCAGATTCTACATTCCATAAACTTAATTCTTAATAAGTCAGAGTACCACACACAATATAATAATAAGTTCAGATGTTACTTAAGAATATAGATTGTACCTATTTCTGAGAGTATTTCTGGCGCTACATAAGTCTGAGTGCCACACACAGTATATATTAAAATGTTACTTAAGAATATAGATTGTACCTATTTCTGAGAGTATTTCTGGCGCTACATAAGTCGGAGTGCCACACACAGTATATATTGGGTCCTTCACATCCATGGCCAAACCAAAGTCAGCCAACTTCAGTGTAATTGTATTGTCTTTATTTCGATGCACCTGATACAAAAAAAAAACATCAAATAATCAATAGATTAAAATAAGTAAAACTTTTGATGAAATATTTCTCACATGATAAAGATGGCAGGTTATTGTAATATATAGTTGTATCAATGATATTTCCCAATTGTGGGTTCTATCCTTCCATAAAGGGAGACAACTCACTCCCAAGGATGATATCAACAATAACAAATTAGGTTATGCAAGGTTGATCTATGTAAGTTCCTCTGTATCAGTATACTGTAAACGACATTGATCATATTATATATAATGAAGAATTATTTTCATAAGGATTCATTTTCATTGATGTCTTCAGTACTCTACAACCTACAAGAAATTTTATTTTTTGTCATAAAAAAATAAAACAGGTAACATTAGCTCAGAAGAGTTATTATTATGACAAACATATAAAAATATAACACAGAGAACAATATCACAGAAGGAGTATTGAAATAAACTTCAACAGCTTCATGAAATTACAAAATTAAATCGTAATCACAGAAAAAATTCATTTAAAAATTGACTTTTGGTAAAAATCAAGAAATAATCAAGAGCTTATTTTAGTAGTAAATTAATTAAAATCTGTACTTTCATATGAAAAGATAAATATTCAAGATATATATGGTATCTCAAGAATGGTTATTAAGATGTACTATAATTCATAATGTAATATTTAACAGAACAGGTGAATAATCTACACAGGTACAGGTACTATATCTCAACAATACAGGTAGGTAACCCACCTGTACATTGTATTTAGGTATAATGTCACCTTTATTGTTTTTCAGTGTTTATACAGCTCCTTTGTTCTTAAACAAGTAGTAGAAAGGAGAACGTACCTATTTACTAGATTTCTATAAACAAGCAGAAAGAAATTTAAAAAACGTTTTGTTGTTTGAAAAATAGTAGTCACACAAAACAAATGTATTATTTAACACTTACTCTACATCCTTCTGGTTAGAACAAATTGTTTTAGATAAACAAAAGCACTATAGACTGTACTTACCAAAAGGTTCTCGGGTTTGAGATCTCTATGTACAATTGACCGTGAGTGGAGATAAAATAGGGCATTACACAGATCCTTGACCATGTGTGCTGAGTCTACTTCACCAAACTTGACACTCTGGGTGATAGCGTCAAACAAGTCTCCACCCTGGAAAAAATACAATATAGCAATACAGCATTCAAATCATACTGGTGGTGGTGGTTATAGGAACTGAGCTGGCCCATCAGGTTTTTTAAAACCAGTCCCTAAGGAGGTTGAATGGGTGGGGTGGGGGTTGGGGTTGGGGGGAGTGGTTGGTATAGATACAACTTACCACCAAAAACTTGATGATGTTTTGAGGTGGACACAGACCACTTTGCTAGAACAGCCATGTCTTAGGCTGTTTACTTACAACAGATGCAGGGTAATGATGCTCCTTTACTTTAAATAGATGGGAAAGATACATTCTGAAAATAATATTCATTTCCATGATAATTCATTGTAGTGTTGGGGTTATGACTTTTATCACCATAGATGTCCTCCATCACATCTAGTATATAGATGTATGAAGCAGTCTGTTTGTACCCTCTAAGCCACATGGTTGTCAAGACTTATTGATATTAACACATGGTCATTAAATCAGTACATCCCACTGATCAAAACTTAAATATTTTATCTCAATACATCCATTTTAAGAATAGTTTTATTGTCTCCTTGCCAGAAAAAGATTGGAATCACATGATTTGTTTTAGAAGATTTTTGAAATTCAAGCCAATTTAACCTTTTTGGCTCAATGTATGTGCAGACCATCAAACTACCATCCTACAAGGTCTGGGTGTTTCTATTATTTCCATGCAATGACAATTAAACAAAGCATGCTCCAAAGCGTGGTTCCCTCTACATGTACACTATTTCATTCTAGCATTTTTTGATAACGAAAAAAAGATTTTTGAAATTTTAGCCAATTTGACCTATTTTGGCCCCATCCATTAACTGGGTCAGTCAGGCTAAACAGGTCAATACCAGCAAACTGGCATCCTATGATTTAAATTGAAAACAACGACAAATTCATGTATCAGCTATAATGAAACAATCTTAGTGGGTGACATTCATCCAGAATGAACATCACAAATTTTGTGGGTTCAATGAGAGCTAACAACTTAATCAGAGACACCACTGGCATATTAAGACACAACATGACAAAGGAATGGATGAGCAAAAGGGTGTGTCTTATAACATCATTAAATTGTAGTATAACTGATTATAACATTAACTGTAGTATAACTGATTATAACATTAACTGTAGTATAACTGATTATAACATTAACTGTAGTATAACTGATTATAACATTAACTGTAGTATAACTGATTATATCATTAACTGTAGTATAACTGATTATAACATTAAATGTAATATAACTGATTATAACATTAACCATATTATAACTGATTATAACATTAACTATAGTATAAATGATGATAACATTAACTGTAGTATAACTGATTATAACATTAACTGTAGTATAACTGATTTTAACATTAACTGTAGTAGAACTGATTATAACATTAACTATAGTATAACTGATTGTGACATTAACTGTAGTATAACTGATTATAACATTAACCATAGTATAACTGATTATAACATTAACTGTAGTATAACTGATTATAACATTAACTGTTGTGTAACTGATTATAACATTAACTGTAGTATAACTTTAACATAACTGATTTGATGTTTCAACTGATGATTTAACTTGTGAAATGCATGGATTATAGTTATACTGATATGAACATCTCAATACAATAAACAATGGTTGTTTTGATTTGTTAGGAAGATAGATAATTAAGAAACATCACATACCTTTACAAGTTCCATGACGAGGTAGATTTTGTCAACAGTTTCATATTCTTCATAAAGTTTGACAATATTCGGATGGTGACAGTCTTTCATGATCTCTATTTCATTTTCCACCATATGTTCCTTACCCTTCAACTTCGCTTTGTCAATTATTTTCATAGCAAATTCATTTTTAGTGTTTTTAAGAGTTGCTTGCTTCACCACAGCAAAGTTGCCATCACCAAGAGTTTTACCTAAATCATATTTACTTAGTATATGGCTGTCACCACTAACCTGACGCTCAAATTTAGTTTTGCGTACAATCTTAGATTTCGATTTTTTCTTTTTCTGCACTTCTTTATCACCTCCTTCTTTATCCTCCTTTTCACTTTTTCCATCTTTTTCCCTATTTTTCTCTTTTTCCTTTTCAGCCTTTTCTTTTTCTGCTTTGTCTTTTTCTGCCTTTTCTCTTTCAGCCTTTTCTGCTGCAGCTCGTCTTTCTCTGGCTGCTTCTAATGCCTTTTCTCTTTCCTGCTCATGTTTCTGTCTTTCTTTTTCTTCCTCTTCTAATCTCCTTTGTCTCTCTTCTTCTTTTTTCCTTCTTAGTTCTTCTTTCTCACGATCTCTCTGTTCCTTTGAACGTTTGAACTGTTCATCTGTTCCTTTGGGGACTAGGCCCCTTTTTCGACGTTCATCATCCAACGCTCGACGTTCAGCTTCCATTCGGTGTTGTTGCCGTCGCTTAGCACGATCACGTTCCTCGTATGCTGCCTTGTCTTTGTCTTTTTCTAACCGGTTGGCTAACGCGTCACTTTTGGGATACTCGTGCCTGCGCCGACCTTTCTCAAGTGGGCGACCTTTATATATGATGTGGTCATTGGTATCGAGATCCCTGTTACTGCCATCACTTCCTTCACCAAAACCACTGTCACGCTTGTCACTCTCTGGCTCCTTGAGATGATGCGCCTGACGTTTCCGCTTCTGTTTTTCCAAATCTTTTAGAATCATTTTTGCAGTGTGTGAGTCAGGAGGATAGATCTCCTCTACAATATCAATGAGATCCCCCTCTGATAACCTCTCATTGCCCACAGCCACAAACACATCATCATCACGGAAAAAGTCAGAAATTCCTTGAACCTCTCTACCCCGAATAGTAAATAGTTTTTCCAATTTGTTATTCCTATATTTAGGACCAAACGCTTCAGAAACATCAGACATGAGCTGCTCAAATGACTGTACACTACGGCGATTCAGTAGAATCTTGATATTATTTCTTGGTCGGGCACCATTCCGCACAATCGTAACAACTTTGGGTTTGATCTGTCCCACATCGGAATTAGGAAGGTAAGAACCCTTATTGGCCATGCCAAATGTTCCAGGGTATCTACGGTGCCCTGTGCTCTTTTGGAGATAGGGCCCAGGCTGAAATGCCCCATAGGCTCTGCCCCCACGATAGCTTCCATACATGCCATCGCCTTCCAGGTCATGGTTGTGTGGTCGTGCTGTAAACAACAAATAATAATGCATTATCAGAAATATTTTTAAATGATATGTATTTTATTTACTTAAATACTACCTTTCGTGGGAGTATAATTGACAGTTACAGACACAGTGCATCATTATTCTCTTAAATTAGCTTCAACACCACAGAACTGATCGCAATCATTTATCTTGTTGTCAGTTAATAGACTGGAAATGACAAAAGAGTAACTTATTCCTCAAATCAGGTAAGGTACAAAAATATTAACAAGAAATATATATCATTGTCATCACCCTGCTATAGATCAGGTCATTTGTTGGCCTCATTGCAGGATGGTGTGTAACTTAACTAATTAGTAAGTAATTTTTCAGGATTTGTTATCTGAAGAAAAAAGTGCTTTATGTATTAAACATGACCTTGTTCAACCAACAGAATGAAACAATAATTCTCTACAAGAAGACAAATAATTTTTTTCAAATTCAGCTTTTACAGTGCATAATAATTATATGTTGTGAACAAGAATACTGTACTCTTTCACCTGTCAACACCAAAGTTCCTATACAATTAACAAACTATTGACACACAAAGAAACTGTCATTATACCAGTGTGCTTAAAATGTGTACTGATCTCTACAAAGAAATCAAATATAGGACAAGAACACTGTTGAGTTGATTAGTGACCTCTTTAAGATTCCTGCAGAATATTTCTGAAAATATCTATATATAAGTCAACATAGTTCTAGATCCATTCTCATCATGTACATAATTGTTAGAGTTAACAGGATAATTATCCTCTAAATGTCTGTGTATATAAGTCAGAGTCAACCTGGGATCAGGTGATCACTCCGAGAACGAAATAATTGAAAAGTACAATATACCTACTGTATTATAAAAATACATCTTAGTAGAATGAAAAAACATCCTACACCAATTGTTAGTACAGAAATCTACCCTTAGTCTGTTTTTCTTTGTTACTTTCTCCCCAAACCGAAAGCTAGATAAAATTAGGTTAATTTAGAATCACAAAACAGAAAAAAATTTTACTATCAAAAAAGAATGTGTCAGAGTGTTAAATTCTTTACATCTCACAAATTATTGATATCAAGTAAATTATCAGAAATATCATCACCATGATTTTAATTTTACATCAAAGAATGTTTGACAAAAGTTTCTTTTCCTTGTTTATCAGAAATGTTCAACAAAAAGTTGTTAAAATCACTTTTCAATCTTTCTTGTTTGGCCACTATAACAAATAAATGGCAGTTCCATTGTTACATCACTGAACTAAATGTGTTTATAATTCATCCACTCAAGCATGACTTTATGAAAAGCTTTTCACACCAAATTAATATTTTGATACGACCATTGTACAACTGTTAATATCACACTATTAATAGTTTGTATATTTCTTTCCAATACCTGTAGTTACAGAATGTATTTGGAAATAAGCTCTCTTCTACATATCTTAGTTCTGAGTACCAGAACACTGAACATACTTGTGAGAAGTTCTTTCTCTTTGAAGAATAGAACTATTCTTAATTGCCAAAAACACATACTTAGGAAATAAAAAGCGAAAAATCATATTTCAGGCATTCATAATATCCATGAAAAATACATAATTTTCCCTTCAAGGTTTACGTAAAGTTATATTTGGACATCAAATCAATATTTACAGAATACTGTATGACCAAGAATTCCTGCCATTAACATGGCTGCTGTCATCTACACATTGTAGAATAACTATTGTCGGGATTGACCAAACCAAGACTACAAAAATGTCCATGTAAGAACTTCTCCATGTGATTATCTCCTACACTGTATGATCATTTTTGCGACTGATCAATACTTTTTTTATCTACAAAGATGCCAAAAGTATGTTGCATAATATCATGATTATTATGTTTCTTCAAATTTCTATACATTTTTTCATAAAATGTGAATTGCCAGGTAGACCAGAATACATTGAATTCAGGCCATTAACTCCCTACAGGTGAATCAATATATCTAACTTAGGCAGGTTTAATATACAATGTATACTTCGTGCCTTTGACTAATAATCCTAGAACCAATGTATGTTTTATACATTTGCCAGTTTTATATAAATTACCTCGTAGTTTCACCCTGAGACCAAGTAAAGGTAAGCCCGAAACATCCACCATGCTGGTTTCTAGAATGTCATTGGATCCCTACTTCGGATAAAACATACATGAAGATGTTTGTGACTGTTATATGTGTGATCCATAATAACACTTCAGAAGGAATTTCCCATGTAACTATTCCAGGTAAAGACCTGTCATAGACTCATTGACAGGAACTTAACACCATCATCAAATATCTGGCAGGCTGCACACATGATATGACTACTGTAAACATGATATCCCTGTATTAAACAGAGACAAATCCACAGCAAAGAATTCACACGTAATCCTACATGAAATAAACACAATACAGAAAACTAATTTAAAGTTGAAAATCTTCGCCACAAGAGTGAAAACTTTATCCTGGTGACTGCCTACTGGAAATCTATATGAACTAACTCCATCCAGAGGGTGTAAACAGATTCCTAAGCCCTGAACAGATCCCAGACAACGTCTCCACAATGTCTTCAATAGATTGTGTGCGCACTGCCTATCCCCAACACCGTTATATTTGGTATAATTCTTGTCAATAACTATATAGACCTATGTATTTTTTGAGTACAGCATGCTTGAACATAAAACCATTTTCTGAAAAGTACCATTTTTATTGCTACCTCATGCTAACTATTTATCTATTTTCCCTGTTGAACGTGTTAATGAAGTATTTGTGACATATTCTATGTTAACAATGTTTTGTGTTGCCAACATCGGGTAGGTTTATTACAGGTAAGTAAAAAGTAAGCTGACCATGACTGAACAACCGTGCCTGATAGGGATCTCATCCAACAATATTATTATTACAGTTGGTTTAACAGAAGGTGCCACCTTTCAAACAGAGCTCGGTGACGTCTATCTATATATTTCAGTGGAAATATTGCGGCAGTAAGTCATTAGAATTATGTACGGACTGACAAGCAACTATTACCAAGTTTTTTTTATAAAGGAGTAGTGGTGAATGTCATCCATCATATTTCCTTCCTGGACTTGTCAGCTTTAGAACAATGTTATTGTCAAAAATGACCAATCCAGGGTTACTTTTACCTCATTCTTGGAATAAAAATGCTTTAGAATTCCAAAAGGCATCATGAACTCCCATTTCTGTGATCATGAATATTTTTTTCATCAAATGCTTCTTTTGGAACTATAACAAGCTAACAAGCCTACAACAACACAGAGACTTGGCTTTCAACTTTTAACAATCCAAGCTTTTGTTGGGGACAAATGAACCAATCAATTGTCTTACCTGATACTGTCTCCTAACAAAATCAACATGTTTACCTGTGTTGATATTACCCTTTGCTCTAATACCTGCTTATGACCTGTTAATTACAACATATACGTATCTGATCAATGGTATTTGTACAGGAAATGCAATCCTGACTCTCCAAGTCTTCTAAACATGAAATGGGCCCTAGTCCTTAATTGAAGCTAGTTGAATAAGATTTCAATTACCTGGTGTTTATTTACATAATGATTGGCACAACATTATATCAAAGTAGAGCTAGTGCTAATAAAGCTTGTTTCTGTGATTCTTTGTTCTGTTTATTCATTACAATGATAAATCAAAAAAAAAAAAAATAAAGAAACATTTTTCAAAGGAATGTGCCCTGTAAAGAATAAAATCTAAATACATTCTAGGCCTCTGACTGTAACTACAAGATCATGCATGGCACCAAAACAGAGGAAAGTGACCTCAGTAGTCAGGTGGGCTCTATATACAGGTTCAATTACTATGAACTATGTTATATTGGGACCCCTAACTATTGGCCTTCATAGAAACATATATGTTTTGTATACAAGTGGGCTTTATGTACAGGTTCAATTAATATGAACTATGTTATATTGGGACCCCTAACTATTTGCCTTAATAGAAACATATATTTTTTAAATACAGGTGGCCTTCATATAGAGGTTTAATTACTTTTTAAGTAAAGACATGATTATTATAATATGACAGAAAACAAGCTTTTTAAGATTTCTTTTCTATATATACGGAACAAACCTGAGTACTGTCTGGGACAAAGAAGAGTACTGTCTGGGACAAAAATGAGTATTGTCTGGGACAAACATGAGTTCTGTCTGGGACAAACATGAGTACTGTCTGGGACAAACCTGAGTTCTGTCTGGGACAAACATGAGTTCTGTCTGGGACAAACCTGAGTTCTGTCTGGGACAAAGATGAGTACTGTCCGGGACAAACATGAGTTCTGTCTGGGACAAACATGAGTATTGTCTGGGACAAACCTGAGTACTGTCCGGGACAAACATGAGTTCTGTCTGGGACAAACATGAGTGCTGTCTGGGACAAACATGAGTTATGTCTGGGACAAACATGAGTACTGTCTGGGACAAACATGAGTATTGTCTGGGACAAACATGAGTTCTGTCTGGGACAAACATGAGTATTGTCTGGGACAAACTGAGTACTGTCCAGGACAAACATGAGTACTGTCTGGGACAAAAATGAGTATTGTCTGGGACAAACATGAGTTCTGTCTGGGACAAACATGAGTACTGTCTGGGACAAACATGAGTTCTGTCTGGGACAAACATGAGTTATGTCTGGGACAAAGATGAGTACTGTCTGGGACAAAGATGAGTTCTGTCTGGGACAAACATGAGTATTGTCTGGGACAAACATGAGTACTGTCTGGGACAAACATGAGTTCTGTCTGGGACAAACATGAGTGCTGTCTGGGACAAACATGAGTTATGTCTGGGACAAACATGAGTACTGTCTGGGACAAACATGAGTATTGTCTCGGACAAACATGAGTACTGTCCGCGACAAACATGAGTTCTGTCTGGGACAAACATGAGTTCTGTCTGGGACAAACATGAGTGCTGTCTGGGACAAACATGAGTTCTGTCTGGGACAAACATG